AACCCTGCCAACATAACACCCATCACAAAGCATAACCAATCAGCAGAGTGGTAGCACATCGCAGCACAGAACATATGGAAAAGTGGCCGTTAGGAACTCGTGCAAGTCTGAGAGAGCCACTACCCTCCTCTGCTCCATCACGAGGGATGTGTGAGGGTTTTATCATGGCAATCTGGAAGAGGAAGAAGGATGCACACAATTGGCATGCGTGAAAAACTGACTTTGTCCACATGGCCAGAGGATACAGGCCTGGTTCAGATGCCGCTTTCAGCCACACCACTTGAAACAATGCAAGAGCGCACCTGATTCCCGGGGACATTCCAAGTCAGACTAGACCTGGACGTACCCAGGGCAGGGATGTCTTAATCACTCTCTTGATTACTGGGAAATGCATCTGGGAATCAACCACACCCTTGCTGATTCTAGGTTTTGAAGATTTTGCATTTAGGCTGAGTTGCAATGTGTGTTGCTACTGGGGGTTGCTGGGGAGGGACAAGACACTTGCTCTGCCTTGCATCAATCCAGAAATGTGGTCAAAAGTCTTTGGCAACAGCTCAGTGCAACTGCAGAGAACCTGCGCCTGGTTCACAAACAGCCTCCGTATTTTGATGAAGGGGGGGGGGGAAAGACAGGTGTGGTTTAAGAAAATAAATAAAATTGAGTCCTGAGCTGAAGGTGAAAGTTGCTGCTCTAAAGTAGAGCTTGGTGAGAAATGTGTTTAGTTTACATTTATTCCAGATTTCCTTAATGCTTATTCCCAGAACCAACACGCAAACTATAATGCAACTGTCTTTTAATATTCATGTTTTTCTGAATTTTGCAAAACTGTTTCCTAAATCCAGATGTTAGGGAATGCAGGTATTTGGGGAAATGGGTACAAAATGCTGACACTGGCAAAAAATAACTGAAAGCTATTATTTGAAGGGAACTCATTTGGAAAAGAATGCTTATATTAGAAAAACAGCATGCACTCATTTATACATTAGAAGAGAGGCCATGCAAGATAGATAGAATTCTATCTTCTCTTCCCTCCTGCCACCCCCCAGCTGGTCTAGAAATGAGAATCGGAGCAAAATTAAACTTGACAAATTCACCTATTCCTGTTCTTAACCAATTGACATTGAGTCAAAAGCAGATTGACAGCAGAGTCCTGGGTATTCTGCACTAGAAGTCTGTAATGGTTTTATGCCAGTTGCACTGACACAATTCCCCCCCCCCCAAGAGTTCTGGGATTAGTAAATTGGCAAGAATATGTAGTCATTTGTAAAAACCTCCCCCCATTAATTCCTGACATTTCAGATCACTGGGCAAGAGGGGGTTTTATTATTATTTCAGTGCTTCCCATAATTCCAGTTCTCAAATTAGTTCACAATAATTTAAAATACAAAAAAACAGATTGAAACAGTACAAACTATTCAATTTAAAAAGTGAAGGAAGAAAAGGACAAAAATGAAACCAAAACAATCCCACAACTTTCACACAGGAATGCCTCGATGAAGAAGTAGACTTTTAAAAGGTGCCTAAGAGATATAATCTCATGATGGCCATCGGTTCGGGATATTGGATTCCTGCACTGGCCGGGGGGTTGGACTAGATGTTCTCCTGGTCCACTTCCACCCTTATATTTTAGAATTCTAGGGCTTCAGGAGGGAGAAGATTTCAGATTGAAGAGGCTACACTGAGAAGGCCTGATCAGCTTGTGGTTCTTGGCATCCAATGAAGGACTTTCCTAGTGGATCTTAGCAATCAACATGGTCTGTGACATGGAAAACAATCTGTCAGGTGTCCTGGTCTGGAGTAATTTTTATGTCAAGAGGAAAACCTGGAGCCTGTTTTGATAGCTACGCAGCAGGCCGTGCAGTAGCTTAGCTGATATATGACAGGTTTCTTTGGGCTCCAGTGACAATGATAATCCTAGGATCATCCCAAATAACATGCCTGCTCTTTCAAGGAAGGAGTGCCTTCCCATTAGGTGAAGCAAACCCCCTAATTCTTGGATTCTCCCCACACCCTTCATTTCCATCCTGTCTGGATTCAGTTTTCAGGTTGAATTGTTTTCAGAGGCAAGGGAGTATAGAGCTGATTCTGCTAATGGACTCTACAGCTGCCTTAGAGCTAGATTTATATAATCTATCTATCTATCTATCTATCTATCTATCTATCTATCTATCTATCTATCTATCTATCTATCTATCTATCTATGTTGTATTGTAAACCATTTTGAGTCCTGTGAATTAGGCAGTGTATCAATTTCTGAATGCATCAATAAATATCAGCATATTGATGATACCTCATCCCCAAGTTAATGACTGCCTCCAATGGCTTCATACAGATCCTAAATGCCATTGTGGACATCCCTCAGTATAGCTGTGGCAGTCACCTAGTATAATACTTTGAAACCATTCCTGCAAGTACTACTGGAAACACTGGAACCTAAGGCCCCAACCCCAACTCACAGACATGCTCCAGGAGGACATCATTGCTGATGTTATCAAAAGCCACTGAAAGATCAGCCAGGATGAAGAGAGTCCCCCTGTCTCTGTCCCACAGGAGATCATCTACCATGCCTGATGATTATCTCCTCAAACCAGGCCAAACGATTTTGAGATAATCAGTGTCCTCTAAGAATGTCTGCAGCAACACAGACAACCTCTCCTTGATTGCAAAAAAAAGGAATTTATGCCTAAGCAGTTATGGACAAAATCCTCTGGATCCAGGGACAGCTTCTTCAGAAGTGGTTGGACCACTGGCTCTTTTAGTCCATCAGACAAAGATTCCTTCACCACTTTCTGGATCTACCTAGTCATCTCCCTTTGGCTACCTCAAGGAATCTACAGTCTTTTTGATGTCCTTGAGACTTGTAAACTGAAAGTGATCTCATAGAGACTCGTCAGGTGTGATCTGGACATCTCAGTATGTACTGCGTCAAATGCAGGGTTCATGATAATATAAAGACAACTGATTTTATCTTCTAAATGCCTCACACATCTGTCACTGCAGATCCCTGAAAGTTCCAACATCGAGTTTTCCAAAGCAGATGACAACAAACCCTTAATCACTTTAAAGAGCTCTGCTAGACAGCTACTTGAGGATGCAAAGGAGATTGCAGAGAAAGTTTTCTCTGCAGCCTTCACCACAGTGTAGCAGGCATGAAGGAGTCTTACAGCATCTGCATTCTAGTGGTTTCCTGAGAAAACAATGACACTGGACTTCACTGTCCCAGAGAGAGGACTTAATGATAATTGTTATCAATGGCTTATTCCATAGATCATTCCATAGATCAAAGGAGATCCATAAAAGGTCACTGGTTTTGGAAATTCCTCCAGAACATTCCAGAACCCATCCGATTCCCTAAAACTCCACGACTGATTATCTTAATTGGTCCCCCTCCTTGCTGGAGAAGGAAAGTGAAGAGATACCTAACTTCCCCATGTGGTGGTCTGCCCATGGATGCAGATTGTCATGTTCCAAATATTCAGACCTCTCCACAACCTAAGGAAAATGCCAAATCAAGCCCAGCACTCTGGTTCATGCATTGGTTTGATGATAACTTCAAACAGACTCATGGCCATCAAAGAGATGACGAAATCTTAGATAGGAATAGAAAAAATGAAAAAATAGAAAAAAAACCCAAACAGCTCTGGGCAACTACCTATCCCACACCAGGGGTGTGAGTTCAAAGTCGGAGCTCCCACCTAGGCCAAATTCCCCCAAATTCAGCTCCCATTAGAACAAGGTCGACTGGACACCCCCATCCCAGGGGTATCATTACAGAACCGAGACAACTGTCTGGCTAGCAGGTAAAGACAGGGCACAACTGGAATTGCTGAAATGCCAAAAGATGTCACTCCGTTATACCCCAGGAGGGCACTCACCTCAAAATCCAGGTCAGAGTACCGTAGTCTTTTCCTCTGGGGAGGGAGGCATGAAGTAAGCATACCACAAGGGGGGAGGGGGGAAAAAAGAAAAGCCTTCATTACTTTGTCTAGTCCTCAGATTGAGTTTTGGAGAGCAGATGGGTTGGGAGGCACCCAAGGAAACATCAGAACATACAGAGATGACGGTGTGGGGAGGGGGTTAGGAGCAGCAGGAGGAGAAGGTTATCCCCAAAGCATCACAGGAGCAGACAACAAAGGGCAACCCTAATGCACTCTGATGGCCATTTCCTGGGGCCAATTGTCTGCGGCCACGGCATGTGTTAACTGAAGCGCTTTGCTCCAGGAAGATCTGGTAGATGAAGCACCTACTATTCTAGCCGCATCTTCTAACAAGCTCTTAGATGACTATTTTTGAATGGCATCCAGACCTGAGGAGCATGGATCACTTGGGTGAGTTTTCTCTTGGTTAGTACCCAAAGCATTGGGAGAACAAATGGAAGGGAAGATGCTGAGCTTTAGGGAAGGTGGGGAGTTGATTGCATTTCAGCACAACTCTCCCATTTTGGGGCCTTCTGCATAAGGTGGAGGAGATAATAAATAAGCCCCCACCCCTTCCTGAATCATGAGAAGGCCATGAGAAGAGAATCCAGAGGGCAGGCCCTCTCTTCTCCCTGTCGATCAATCTCAGTCCCATTGCCAACTTGCAAGCTCAGCTTTACTTCAATTGTGGTGTTCTTTCCCCACCCCCACCCTCCAAAAATCCCATTTTCCTTCCCTCCTCAGGAACCAACCTGAAGCTGCTGTTTTGGGGCTTCCCAAAAACCAACCCCCCTCCCCCAAAAACATTGTGCCTTCATGGCAGTGCCAAGCAGAGAAGGGGGTTAAATGCAGATTCAGTCAAGTTAGGGATCTGTGTGGTGTCAGGATGCGGGAGAAACATTCTGAAATAAATGGAAGAATGACTCCTTTTATGCTTCTTGAACAAGTTCTGCTTTTCACAGCAGAAACACCCCTGTCCCATTCCTGCTCCAGAATTCCAAACCAGGCCACCTGCTGCAGGCAACAGTTCATGCAGGGGAAACAGACATAGTCATGCTACAGGCTCAAACTGGCTGAACAATCCATTGCTAATTGCCGGGAACTAGTATAGTTCAATAAGGTAGAATGCAGACGTTGAAGAGGGTAAGGCAGTCTTGAGAGGCACTAACAACAGCATGGCATCCAGCTTCATAGTAACTCTGCACTGATTAGTCCACACTTGGAGTGCTGTATCCAGTTCTGGGCACCCCATTTTCAAAAGGGCACAGAGAATTTGGAGGAAGTTCAGAGGAGAGCTACCATGCTGATCTGGAACCCATAGTATATGGGGAATGGTTCTGAAGGAGCTGGACATGTTCAGCTTGCAAAAGGGAAGACCAAAGGGAAATAATGCAGTGGTCTATAAGTAGCTAATAGGTTGACACGTGCAGGAAGAGCCAGGTTTTCTTTCTAACAAAATTGAGAGGAGGACAAAGGTCAAATGGTTGAAATTAAGAGGAAGAAGATTCAAGTTGAATGTAAGGTGGGATTTAATGATAACAAAAGGCATCACGCAATGGAACAGGCTGCCTGAAATTGTGGTAGATTCCCCTTTGCTGGAGTTTTCAGATTGGGGCTGGATGGTCAACTGATGGGGATGGTTGAGGTTGAGTTCCTACCCTAAGCAGAAGGTTGGACTAGGTGACCTACGAAACTCCTACCTACTCATGATTCTAACTTCTGTTTCTAATAAGTGGCTAGCATTATTGGAAGAGGGAATCTTTGGACCTTCATCACAGCTCTTTGAGAGCCTTTGGGGGGGAAGGCCACAAAAGTTAAATGTAAGCAATCCAGGGTAAGTCTGAGTTGCAGAGAACTTTTCCAGCTTCTGTTGCAGTCAAAGCACATTTAATTAAACAGATGATTCCAAAGTTGTGCACATGCTGTACTATCCTGTATGCAAGCCCCCACTTAGCATCAAATATCAACTTTTATACTTTCACACACCTTTTTTATGGATTCTCTTATGCAGATCCAAATGTTGCAACCATCACCTCTCCCCACCTCTCCCCACATAGTCACCTGTGCACATCAAATTCATTTAGAGCATTTTCAGAGCCAACTTACACAATTAGTAGACCTGAGGAGGAAAACCTCTTGTAGGCTTATACCACTTTTCATAAAATATATGTAAAAACTTCTTTGCACATGGAAAACTTGACTTCTAGACTGGAAACCTTTTCTATGAGATGTTATATTTCTAGGAGGTGACAACTGTTTTGGAGACAGCATCATTCAAACATGCTATACTTTTCAACGTCTTGCATTCTGCTTCAAGGCTGCAATCCTGCTCTAAATTACAATTCCTTGTTACAACAGAAATAGCTTAAGGTCCTTTTCCTCACCAGCATCTTAAGCCAGAATAAAATCATAAATTATGGCCAATAAATGGACACTAAGCTACAGTTTCCCAACACTTGTTCTGGAGATAATGTGTCATTTATCACGTCTAGAAGATTACATCTGAACTTGCTAGCAAATATGAGTTCATTCTTGAGACAACCAGGTGGTATGTTACAGAAAAACAGTTCTGATTAGTTCTACCCTGATTATGTATGCTCTTATCTGCAAGTTCAGCTTCATGGTATTCAATGGGATTTATTTCCATGTTGCTGTGCAAGGGCTGAAATCTTTGCTAGTTGCATCTGGCAAAGGAAAGAAGGAGCTTCAGCTGGGAAGGAGGAGGAGGAGGAGGAGTAGGAGGAGGAGGAGGAGGAGGAGGAGGAGAAGGAGGAAGGGAAGCTGCAGCACCATTTGCAGAAAAAAATCTAGGAAGCATTGGAAGATAGGATAGAATCAAAGGGAAAATGCTTCTGTAACAACTCCTCATCCTGGACCCAGAACAAAGCAAAGGTTAGGATTCAATGTGCTCTTAAACAGAAATAAATCCAGTTAAACTCAGTAGGACTTAACCTCTCAGCAAGTATGCAGAAGTATTTAACAGCCCAAAGAATAGCTCACTTTGGCGTTCTGCTATCCTTTCAGCCTTCCAACCTAAGCTACTTACTCTTTACACCCTCCGGCCACCTCTGAACTCACGCTTGGACAAGCAAATTCATGAACCAGAAATTCTGCTCAGGGCAGAAATCAGCTGCTAGCCACTTCAATTCAACGTCCAAAAGGCGCATGCAGACTCAGAGTGACTCTTACCTCCAGGGAGCCCACTTTCATGGCTGACCCGGGCACGGTGCGTGGCATGCTGCGGCTGCGCTCTGACAACTCTGAGGCCAGGATCTGCCGCACGGTGGGGTGCTGCTTGAATTGAAGGCCATATGGGTGCTTGACGGTCCCATAGGGCTGGTTCAAGTTCACGTTGATTTGGTCCATTGAGGCAAAGCTGGGGTAAGCCTCGGCCTCCATCGAGTGCCGGCCCTGGGCCAGGCCTGGAGGTTCATCCAACTTGACGTTGAGTTTGCCCTCTTCCCTGGTGAAAGGTTTAAGGCTCACTGTCCGCCGGGGAAGCACCATGTAATTGCTCTCAAGGGAAGCCTCCTGGGAACGCAGCCAGCCGTAATCCAGTTGCCGCAGGTTGCTGTCGCCGCACAGGTAGACCGGCCCTCGCGCCACATCCAAGTTAACGTCCTTCTTGGCAGGGGGATCGCTGAGCTCCTTCAGCCCTTTCACCACATTGTGTGTCATTTGCGGCATCTGGACCAGGATGGAAGTGGGCGGGATGTTCCCAGGGAGGGTGGAGAAGCCCAGGCCACTTTCGGAGCTGGTATTGAGCTTTGGATCCTCATCACCGTCCAGGGAGATGCGCGACAATGTGCTTGTGATGGTAGCTGGGTTGCACGTGTTAACCTCTTTAAAGAGGACTGGGAGTGGAGAGGGTGGTTAGGCAGATTATGAAGCAAAAACCCCTGTGCTTTGGCAATTTGTCACTCCAAGAAGTTTGGACAAGAAGGAGGAGCAATTGTCCTTTCTATTTTTAATTTTTTCTAGTGGGGGTAGGAGAGTGTCTATCTCTCAGCTGCCCCAGGTCACCATGCCGCAGGTGCAGAGAAACGGATTTTTCTGAGACTGGAAATCTAAGTGTTTAAGGAAGGAGTGGAGAACCCTGAAACCTGGAGCTGGGAGAAACTGTTACGTGCCTCTGAGCTCAATTTTAAGCAATGCTAGCAAGGGGAGGGGGGAATCTGCTTCTCTCCTCTACCAATTCTCATGCTGCTTGATGAAAGAGGCTTTGCTTTCAGAATTTCTTCCAAAGAAAATGAGAATTTAGGTAAAATTCTCCTGAGTGTTCCTGCACTTAGTTAGGAGAGAGTCAAGGGCTGTGCCTGAACACCTCGTCTTTCATGGCACCATCACGTCTCCAAGGAATAGCCTCCTCCCTGGATTCTCAGACTTCCACCGAATCCCATCAGGAAGGGCCTCCTTCCAGGGACAGGGGAGGGGTGGCTCAAAACCTGCAAGATGATGGATGCTCTGTTGTGACTGAAGCCCCGCCCCCTTTGGTGTGTGCATGTGAGGCACACACACTCATGCCTAAAAGGGGCAGGATTTCCTTTGTGATGCTGTGCCTGCCATCCTGCAGATTTTGACTCCCCCTTCCCCACTTAGAGATACCCCTGCCAGGCGCTTTTCCAACTGGGGAGAGGGGGCAGGCAAAAGGGTTTTTTCCTCATCTGGTAGCTTCTTCTAACCATAAAGTCAGCTGAAAATCTCTTGGTGAAATTGGAAAGAAATTTCAAGCACCCTTGAGAATAAGGGGCTGAAACAGAAGGGGAAGAAAAGTTTGGACAAATTTGCAAAACTGGTTTCAGCACAACATTTGTTCTAAGCATCAGGCTGAAGAGGTGGTTTGGGAGGTCATGGGGAAAGGGACGGGAAATTGGGGTGATCAGTAATGACTACTGGTACATCTGCTAGTAGTCTGACCTGGTCATACCATTAGCCTTAAGCTGACTCTGCCTGGGCCTGGAAATTCCCTTCTCTTGTATCCCACTTCCTTTCTTTTTGCAGCATATACCCACCCCCATCAAATCCTAAACCTTTGACACCCCCCTCCCCCCAGTCCTACAAAAACTTGGCTTTCTTCTACCTCCTGGGAAAGGAGGTAAAACTGGCCCCTTCTCCATCATCCAATAAGGTCATTCCACAGCCAAACCCTCCTTTTCTCACACAGGAAGAAAGAGAGAGGCCCTCACCTGTCTGACACGCCAGGTCAACATCCTTTTCAAAATCTGTCTATAAAAACACAGGAAGCGGGGGAGAAAGGGAGAGAGAAGAGAAGAGAAGAGAAGAGAAGAGAAGAGAAGAGAAGAGAAGAGAAG